GCTGTTCTCGGCATTCACACATTTCTCCTCCTTCTGCTTTTTGCAGGAAGAAAAAATAAGTTTCCTGCTAAGGAAGTTGATGCCCAGAGCCCCGAGATGGGCTGGTGGACGATGCCCGGGTGTGCAGACCTGGCTGCTCCTCACTTTGCCCTCGTTTCCCCGCCTTCCTGAAATCCTGAAATCCCCATGTCTGGCTCCACTGGCAGTGCCTGTGAGCCAGTGGCTCACTGCTGGTCCCAACCCCAGGGTGGGCTTGTGGGGGTGTTTCCCCCTGCATTTGGTCCTTGGATAAGCGTGAATCTGAATCCTTCATTTATTAACTCGCCTGTGGACTGTGAAGGTGTTCTCTGTCAGGGGCTGCTCCTGCTTCTTTAGGAATGACTTTGTGATTCTGTGCAAAGTGCTCAGTGACAGACTGTGTGTCTGGGGTTTATGTGGCACAGTGGCGTGTCCTGTCCTCAAGTCCAATAAAATTCAGGATTTTTCCTGCTGTTGTATTTTCCCTGCATCTCCTAGCTTTGAAGTAATATAGGACATAGAATCATAGGACAGTTTGGGTTGAAAGGCACCTTAAAGCTTATCTGGTTTCCACCCCCTGCCACAAGCAGGGACACCTTCCACTATCCCAGGTTGCTCCAAGCCTCGTCCAAGCTGCCCTCGGACACTTCCAGGGATGGGGCAGCCACAGCTTCTCTGGGCAAACCTGTGCCAGGGCCTCACCACCCTCACAGGGAAAACCTTCCTCCCAAAATCCCATCTAACCCTGCCCTCTGGCAGTGTAAAGCCATTCCCCCTTGTCAAGGATCCTTCCCATCCTAAGCTGTTGTTTCCCTCAGTCCTGATTTGAGGCCGTGATGTTCCTGGCAGGGAGCTGGATCCAGCCAATGCATCCCACATCCGAGTGCTCGTGTTTGCAATAGGGCTGGGGTTAGCAGGCAGCTGTAAAAAATCAACCCAGGCCAAAAAGGAAATATATTGGGAATGGTTGTGAGGTCATGTGGCAGAGTTTTGAGGTAAAAGATCAGAAGCAAATGTCACCAGAGCTCTGCTGGTCTGCGCCTTGTGGGGGGACAGTGTGATTGTAAGAGAAATGAGTAATATCTGATCATGCAGGACAGAGAAATCCCTAGCCTCGTGGGACTGTGTGGGCTAAGAACAAACTCGGGGGAAACAACTGATCTCTTCACAAGACCCGGCATTCTGGGAAGGGGAAAACGGCGCCAGTTTCGGGAAGCCTGGGCCCCTGCCAAGCCCTGAGCCACGTTTGGTCGGCAGCGCCGCAAGCTCAGCGAGCGCCGTCAGCACACAGAGCGGGACGGGCGAAAACCGCCCCGACCCCGGGGGGCCGCCCGTGCTGCCTCACTTCTCCTATTTTCCGGCTCAAATAGGGGGATGCTGCCGGTGCCGGGCTGGGGCCGGCATGGCTGTGTGGGCAGCCCTGCTGCTGGGGGTGCTGCTGGTGACCCACTGCCCCGGGGATGCAGGTGAGGCTCCCCTCGGGCGGGCTTGGGGGGTGCTGGGGGGGGAGGAAGTGGCGAGGCTTTCAGGGGTGTTCTGCTGCCGTCTCTGGGGTTTTAAAGCGGGTGATCCTGGTGAGGTGTTGGGGGCATGTGCGCTGCACAGGAATGGTTTTGGGGATGGCAGTGGGATTTTGGGTGATGGGTGAGCCACGGCCGCGTGCCCCGCCAGCTCTCCTGGAAACCAATGGCAACCTGAGCTGCCGCTGCCGCAAAACCACCAGAGCCTTCATCCCCCCGGCAAAATACAGCAGCATCGAGGTCCGGCCCGTGGGGAGCAGCTGCCGGCGCCTCGAGGTGGTGTAAGTGTGTCCCAGGGGTTCTGAGCCTCCAGTTCCCCCCGTATTCCCTGAATTACTTCAGTTTCATGCTCATTTTTATGAGAAGGGTGTGGGTCTCGGTGACTTGAGACCCCCCCGCTGCAGGAGGGGGAAGTGACAGTGCTGAAAGCCCGTGTGTTTTCTAGGATTAAGCTAAAATCCCAGGAGAGGGTCTGCGTGGATCCTGACACCCCCTGGGTGAAGAAACTCTTGAAGGACCTCCCTCACCTGTAAGACCCACCCCTCTCCTCCTGAGCACTCCTGGCAGGACCAGGGGCATCCCGTGCAGACCTGTTCACACGTTCCTCCCCCTTCTGCTTTTGGCAGGAGGAAGAAAGAGCAGCCCCGCTGAGGAAGCTGCCACCGGTGGGACGGCCAGATGTGCTGGGCCCAGAACTGCCCCCCCTCCCCATCCTGCTGCCACTTCACCCCTGTCCGGAAGGGAGCATCCTCCCACCTGATCCCCTGAAACCCTTTTCCCTTGGCGTTTTATGCCTTTAAACCCTTGACCATGCCAGTCCCTGTCTCCCTCCCCTCCCACCCCGCAGCCATGCGCTGGGTGTCCTTTTCGGGCACAACCCAATAGGCCCAATAAAGGTGGCAACCTGAGGTTACCGTCCCTTGCATCCCTTCCTGTGGCATTCTGGGGGCTCGGGGTGCTCAGGGGTCAGCAGGGGCATGGGGACTCCAGCCTTTCCCCAAAAACCTGGGACGAACAGGAGGTTTTAGGAGGCGGCCGTGGTGATTTCTGCCTTTTTCATGGGCCACGTGCGTGTGGGGGAAGCGAAGGCAGGGAAGTTGAAGCGTGGGGGCATCTCCTTTTTCCTCCCTCTCTGTCCCTTCCCAGGCTGTGAAATCCCCTCAGGGCTGGCTATAAGGCAGCCCCTGCATTGGCTCGGGGTGGGCAGCGAGGATGCGGCTGCTCCCGGCAGCGCTGGCCCTGCTCCTGCTCCTGAGCAACTTGGTGCCTGGGGGCGGTGAGTGGCTTTGGGGTGTCTGCATCCCTCTCCAAATCCCTGGATAGTGGCATTGGGTGTCCCAGATGGGGCTGAGTGTGGGCTCTGCTAAGCTTTCAAATTTGTCTCTTGCCTGTCTTTGAGTTTATCTTTCAAATTTGTCTCTTGCCTGCCTTTGAGCTTGAGTTTATCTTTTAAATCCTGTGGCTAAGCTGGAGGGGGATGCCTGGGACTGGGGGACTTGTTTCATGGGTTTAAGTTGCTTCTCTTCCAGACCCTTGTGAAACTTGAGTGCTTGGTGGGAGGGCAGAGGGTTTAATTCATAAAATACTGTTTAAGCTTTCAAACCCTGCTGCTAAACCCCCTCCATGTACAGGAAAAGAGGCTGTGATGGGGAGGGATTAGCCTTGCTGCAAACTCCGTCAACACCGGCCTGGCCCTGCAAGTGGCCCCATGAGTGTCTGGGATGGGATAATGGGGAGGGGGTTGTCCACCCCATCTACCTCCCTTTCGGGGGGCCGAGACCTGGTGTGGGCTGCTCTGGGGCACAGGTCTGTCACTGGAGAGCCTGCTGACCAACATGAGGTGCAAGTGCATCAAATCGACCGCCCAGGTCATCAACTTGGGGCTGATCCTTACCATTGACGTCACGCCGCCGGGTCTGCACTGCCGGAGGAAGGAGATCGTGTAAGTGGAAAGTCTGGGAAGCAGTTCCTGCAAGCTGTGGGCGCTTGTGTCCTCTCTGCAGCTCCCGAATGTTGGGGTGACTCTTGCAAGGCGCAGGGCCGCCGCCGCCTGTTTAAAAGGGGCTTCCCCTCAGTGTGGCTCTCCTGGGTCACGGCCCCAAAAATCCCATTTCCCTGCCGTCCAGGGTGTGCTCACATCCGTGCCGGGGAGTTTTCTCTGTCGGTTGGAAAAGCTCTGGGGAAGGGGTGTTGCGAGGGGGCTGAGGAATCTTGCGGCCTTGCAGCCTCACGCTGAAGAAAAACAAGAGGGTGTGCGTGTCCCCCGAGGCGCCCTGGATCCAGCTGCTCATCCACAGGCTGACGGAGAGGTACGCGGGACAAAAGCGGCGTTTCCAGCGCCCTGGCAGGGCGACCCCTTCCTCCTCACCTCTTCCTTCCCCTTTCTCCCGTCCCGCGAACAGGAATGCCGCCAGGAGGGCAGCGGCGGCGCGGCCGCGGCGGGAGGCGCGGCTGTTCCCGTTCCCGTCCCCTCACGGTTCCCGCGCTCCGGCCCCGCCGCCGGCCCGGCCCGAGCCAGGCCCGGCCCTGGATTCCCCGTGGGACAGCAGCGACACGGCCGCTCTGCGCTGAGACAGGGGGGCACGGCACAACGCTGCCGCTTGCCCTGCTCCCGGGGCTTTGGCACGGGCGGGAGCCTTTCCCTGCCTCCCGACAAAAAAGGCTTTTTCCCCCCACTCAGGCACCCGGCGTCTCCCTCCGCGTGGGATCCCGCCGTACTCCCTCAGGCTACCGCAGCCCATCCCGGGCAACATCAATAAATGATGATTGTGTTTCCCCCCTCAGCTGTGGCGGCTCTTTCTGCCTGGATTTGTGGAAAAATTGGGCTTTTTGGGGTGGGGAGTTGGATGGGACTGTGGCACTACAAAGCCCTCGGTCGCTTTTGCCACGGGATGTTTTTCCTTTCCTCTGCCATTTCCTGACAGCTCCTGGGAGGAGCAGGCAGTGCAGGAGGTGGGTAGGGTTTGGTGCTGGCTCCTGGTTGTGGAAGCACAGGAGAAATAGGAGATACAAGGAAATTTCCCAGTGAGTGGCTGCAGCTCTCCCCCTGGAGCCCTGCCCTCCTGGGTGGGGAGCCTGGCATGGCATAGAATGTCCCCTGGTCACATGGATGCAGGTGACACAGGTGTGACTTGTGGACGTGGCCCCAGGATTATCCCCATTTACAATCTGGCTTGGCCGTGCTGGGAGAAGGTGTCTGAGGTGTGTAGGAATCAAATTTGCATTGTCCACCCACCCCCTGGATGCCAAAAATGCATCCTGGGGCAATGGCAAGCTGGGAAACGCCCGGCAGGTCCCTATGTCCCCCCTCCTTCCCACACGGTCCTCCTCAGGAACAAGAGTTGGTTGCAAAAGGGCTGTTTGTTGCCTGCAGAAGGACATGGAAGTACATAGGTGGGAAGAAAGCAGTGGATGTTCAGCCCTATCCATCACAGGTGAGCAATATCCTATCTCCACAGGGGTTAAATAAAAAAAAAAAAATTAAATTAAAAAAGGAATAAAAGAAGTCGCAGTTTGGGGTTTGTATCACCTTGAAATACCCAAGGGAAGAAAGAGGGAGGGAGGGTCCGTGAACAAACTTGTGCAATCTTACCCAAAAACTGCATGTACTTTGGGAAGACCCCTCAGAAGAACATCCCACCTCCATGGTAACCAAGCAGGACAAGGACCTGCTGCTCTGTGATGCTGATTTTAGCTGAACCACCTCCTGCTGCTCTCCTGTCCCAGCGTGCCAGGTAAGGATGTCCCTGAGTTCCTAAAGTCTTTCCCTAAATCACCTTCTGCATTAACTCTGAATTTCCACACCCTTTTCTCCCTGAGCAGAGCAAACCCCACATTAAAAAAGGGATCTGAACCTTGGAGGTCTCAGTTTCTCACTCACGATTTGAGGCTGACATCTCTCTCCCAAGCCTGGATGTGGAAGGCTGGTCTTCAAAAGCCCAATAATTTGGGATTAAGTGGGAGCTGCAGATGCTCACAACCTTTGCAAAGTGAATCTTGACAGGGTGAACATGGATTTCAGAGTTGGCAAGGTGGGACCCCTTCAGCCCTCCCCATGTAAACTGAATGGTGGAGATCACAGCGAAGCTGCGTTCTGGAAAGGGGAAGAGTCCAAGATTTCGGGTTTCTAGTCCATAAAACAGAACAACTAGGACACTTGGAAAGGAAAGGTTGTCTGGGACCCCACTAGGCCATACCTGGAGAAGTAAAGGTAGTCTGAGACCTCACTGGGCCATCCCTGACTGCTCACACTTGTTCCCGCTCCTTAGAGTGAAAGAAGGAAACAAAAATATTCAGCTGCATTGTACAAAATTCTCTTTTTTTTATATATATATATATATATATATGTATATATTTACACACACAAAACCCCCATATGGAACAGATTTACCGGGTTGAGTTTTAAAAAGTTGCTTGTAGAAGGGCGTTGGATTTTGTTTTCTCTGCTTGCTTTAGGCAGTGCTGTCGCTTGGGAAGTGGACACCAGGCACCGTGTTTTGGAAAGGCAGGAGCAGGCAAGGGCTTGGAGCCTTTTTTCCAGGTACTGGCTGCGACATGCTGGGAACTGAGGGGTGGTGATGGAGAGAACAGCTGGGAAAAAAGCACCATCCCCTCACTGCTCCTGCTGGGAAGGGAGAACAGAAGGGAGCTGGACAGGAGAAAGGCAGGTAAACATGTGTATTGACTGAAACATAAACATGACTTTTTTTTTTTTATGTGCAATGTCTGTTAAAGTAACATTTTTATGTTAAGAACCACACGGCGTGATGGGTGTTGGGAAGTGCATTTGGCAGCAGAGAAAATCCAATGGAACACCTTCCTGCAACGGAACTGTCAGAAACCAAAGGAAAATCCAACTTGAGCAGCTCACAACTTTTGCCAGGGTTTGGGTTTTTTCTGTGTCCCCATCCTCTCCCACCCCGATTACTACAAAGCGTTTGGTGTTGGGTTTGTGTTTTTATTACTAAACTCCTCTGAAGCTCATAGACAACCATGGGTGACTTGGAAATTCCATTTTATACAAACAGCTCAGAAAAATACCGGGAGCGAAGTATGGTGGGAATCACTGCTCACGCTGGGAGTTACCGCGCGCGGAGGAACAGGACGAGCAGGTCAGTGCACACCTCCAGAGAGGAGCATCCCCCTTCCCAAAAAAACATACAGCAGCTGGTTAAGGAAAGGTAATGTCCACAGAATTAAGTTTTTCATGCTATTCTACTTTCCAGTACTCTCAAATCCATGTGCCATGGCCAGGTGGGGAAGGCTGAGGTATTCAGAGATACCTGTACCCAGAGGAAAATCCATCTCTGGAAAGGGCTCCTTTTTTTTGGGGGGGAGACTTTTTGGTTTTGGGGTTTGTTTTTTTTTTTTTTTTTGCACAAATCAAGTGCTACACAGCAATTTCCCCCAGCTCCCATTGCTTCCAATTGATCATAGACCATGGATGACGCCTCCATTTTTTAGGCACTTCTTTTCCAAGGGAAAAGGTGTCATTTTTTGAACCCATTTTTGCATTCTGGCCCACCCCACCCCATCCCCAACCCCCAGCTAGAGTCAGGGAATAGTTTCTCCTCTAAGTCCAATTAGGGTCTTTTTTTTCATCTACGGATAATATCCCCAACAAAAGAAATGTTTAATTAAAAGAGAAACAGCCTGACTTGGCAGTTTTGCAAGACAGAAGATGGCTCCTTACTATTTAAAACTAATTTCACAATTTAAATTGGACTTTTTTTTTTCTTTTTTTTAAAGTATACGAATAAGACATAAATATAGGCTTATCAATCTGCTTAAAAATTTCATTCACATCATGGAAAATGTTTTTCATTTATTAAAAATATCACATTTGGAGACTAGAAACAGTAAAGTGCATGAAAAGTTTCAAATAGAAATTCAAGAAAATCTTATAGCAGCAAAAAAGCAGAATAAAGAAAAACTTAAAAACACAGACACGACCTTTTCCTATCACTGTGCCTTTTTTTTTTTTTTTAACATTAAGCAGCCAAACAGGTTTGTGTTTTGTTTTGTTTTGTTTTTTTTTTCAGAAAATTGCATCAATGTTTAATGCCTCTTCAGGCACAAGGTTTTGAACTGGCCACCCAGAGCATTAATAAGGAAGGAAAAAAGGATTTCCAACGCATCCAAAGAGCATTAACAGTTGGGAAGGAACCAGCAGCTTTTTAATTCGACCCTGACCAACAACAGCTCCCAAATAAATTGGCATCAGGAGGATTTAGAGCTCGAATTTGATCATAGGTATTTGGCTATCTTTGGTTTTCTGATAGTAGTGAGATGAGGGGCAGGGCCACTCTGCCAATCATTTATAGTTAGGTATTAAGTGCTTCACTAATGTGCAAATTTTACGTTGGACGCAGAGTTCAGTCTCCGTTTTGGGTTTTCAAACAAACAGTATTTCTAATATTCTTCCTATAAAACAAGCATCTCTAGTTTTGCTTTCCTTTCTCTTAAAAGGCTGGCTCATTTTGCCATGTTCTGGGAAAAAACATTACCTTGAAATATGTTAAATGCCAAGTTTTTAATCTCACTTGTCCGTTTAGAAGTGCAGCTTCCTACTGAAAAGGAAAAGCCAGTTTTAAACAAAATAAAAAAACCCCAAACAACCCAAACCAAAAATTAAATTAAAAACCTGGAAAGGGGAGTAATACTTTGGTTCCAGCCCTAGTGCCAAATGATACCAATATGCACCAAAATGTGCAAAATCTCATATCAAACACATAAGGAAAAGGAGCTCGAAGAAGCAGCTTAAGGTTGGCCATACTTCACTCCTATATGCTTGGATTTACAAGTGTACAGGTCCGTGGGAACAGGTCCGTGCCCTTCCAGGGGCAGGGCTGCACTACCTCCGGCTCGGGAGGTGCACCCCGTTGACGAGAGGCAGGAGCGGAGGGTGGAGTTCCAGCTGGGTCAGCAGGGAGAAGTGGTCGGAGGGGATGTGGGGGTGCGGGCACCCAGTGATGTTGTTGTCCACCAGCCACTGGGGGTCCAAAGGCCCCAGCACTCCGAGCACGTTCATGTGGGTGTTGGAGTAGAAAATGTAGTCAATCACACCCTGCGGAGAGAGGGGAGACGCCGGCGTGACAACAGGGACTGGCCAGAGGCACCGCGCCGGGACTGGGGTAAGACACCCGCTCCCATTAACCCGCAGCCAGCCTGGGAGCTCAGAAATTCCAGCAAACCACAAAAGCTGCGAGCGGCAGGAACAGCAGGAGTAGGAAGCGGCAATGAAGCACTTAGAGGGGCAGAGGGAAGCACACCCAAGGGCCAGGGAACTAAGACAAATGGCTGCTTACTTTGAAATCAAAAGTGTAATTGGTGTAAGGCATCAAGTTGTTCTCGTAGGCGCTCTTGAGCTGGAAGCCGTGTGTGATCCTGCCCTCGGAGGCTCCGTTCTTCCCGTTCCCGCTGAAGTTCATGAGACACTCGTTGTAACGCAGCTCCTTGAAGTCCTTGTGGTTGTCAGCCACTATGCCGTTGCTTAAGTATTCCACTACACCTGTTGGCAAGGGGGATTTAGGGAGACAGGACTCAGGGAATGTTGGCCTCAGAGTTAAAACCCGAACCACCACTAAGACGTGCCAGGAGATTGGAAAAGATGTTAATTAGCAAAGCAAAGCCGTCTCCCTAGGAAGTTTTCATCAGGAACTCGCATGTTTCCTCCTTCTTACTGCTGCTCCAGACACGGGTATTTATGTAATGATTTAGTTAAGACTTATTTGTGCTTTCCTCCACTTTTGTAGGTACCACCAGCTTTCCTGGAGCGCAGAGCCAACTATGGAAAGCAGGTGACTCAACCAGAGGACTCAGTCTCTCCATTTGGATTTCCAAAGACAGCTGTTCCTATGGGACCTTTCATCCATCCCTACCCAGGGAAGTGCAAACCGCCCCGTCACCCTGAGAGGAAAACGAGGATTCAAACGTTCTAAAAAGGCAAGCTAAAACTGAAGCCGAGCGTTACCTGAATCAGGGAGGGAGTTGAGATCCGCACACAGCACCAGAGGAATGGAATTCAGATCTGCTGTCGGGCTACTGGGCCTGCTGGAGGCTTTCTCCAGGATGTTTTTCAGTTCTGAGACAAACATCATGGTCTGGATGAGTTTCACATCTGAGTATTCGGGGTCCCAGTGCATGTGGGCATTGGCCACGATGAGCAGCTGCTTGTCCACGTGAAGAGATTTCAAACCTGGATAAACAGGTACAATTCTGGCAGTGAAAGGTTGTTCCCACCTGTTAATCCTCGGGGTGTAGCTGCTCGGGGCTCAGCGTCAGACACACCGTCAGATGGATGTGTTTTCATTGCTCAAACCTGCTGAAATGCCTGCACAGTGTACCTGGGTGTGAGACACTGTCGCTGCTTTCACTGTTTACCTGAGCTGCAAGGGGGGGCACAAAGTCCCAGGCAGCTCCTCCCAGGCCTGGAATTTAGCTGCTCTCCTCCTTTGAAGCCATCAAACCCCAGCCACGCAGACAGAGCAGGGTGGCAATTTTATCTACGCTGGAATTGTCTGCTGCATCTTGATCAAACTTAATGAAAATGTGACAGTCAGTCAATCAAGAGGCAGGAAAAGATACCTGATAATCTCCTTCTTCCACATCAGTACGTTAGCACTGACATCTAAAAACTGGGGGAGGGTGGAAGGAGTCAATCAAGGGGAGAAAAAAAGAGGGTTGAAAACAGAAGTTGAACATTGTTGTCAACCACTGGTAAGAGCAAATGTGTGTAAACACAGTGGCCTTGGGAAAGCTGAGTTGTTCAAGCAGAATTTAATGAAGTAAGGGGGGGATAAAAGCTTGGGAATAGTATTCTAGGTGATGGATTTACTAGAAATAACTCCTGCCTTTCCGAGGAACTGAATTAACCTCCGGGAACACCCGTGGTCATACTCACTTGCCCCAAACAATTCCTTGTGCACCTCCAACACCACGGCGACTCCGATGTTGTCCTTGGTCATCACTCTGTTCAGCATGGCTTCCGAACCTTCTGAGTTGGCCATGGCCACCTGGTTGAACTCCACCGTGTGCTTCTGCACCAGCGTGAACCTGAGCCAACACAGAGAACCACCTGTCAGCAGGGGTGACCCACAGCCCCCCTAGTGCCACCGTCTGAAAACCACCACTTGTCTGTTTACACAGCCCTTCCTCCGTTCCAAACCACTCGAGCTATTCCTACACGTGATCTGAAAGGTGCATTTTTGCTTCTGGAAATAGTGAAAACTCCCAAAGGGAGCTCAGGCTTTGGGAGACTTCATCCTAATGGCTGAGAACTGTTCTGAGGTTTGAACTGTTTTTAAAAAGCTGCTCCTGCCCCTTACTTTTCAGTTTTGAAGAATATGGCGCAGCCATCCACATGCTTTTTCTCCTGCTCAGACATGATTTTGGCACGTGACTTCGGAGAGAAGAATCCATCGTATCCCCGTTCCTTCAAGGCTGGCAGAAAAAGGGTGAAGTATTGCTCCGTTTCCACTTCCTGGAATTGAACACAAACACCTCAGGCTGAGAAGTGGAGGGAACCCTTCCCCGTGCCCGCCTCGGCTTGCAGTCAGGAGCTCCCACCGGGGCGAAGAGCTGCTGTTTGCATGAGCCATGTCACTCCCTGCACTAACGGCCTGCTGGGAGCTTATCTGCATCCCTGGACACCCTGGCATCCCTCCCAGAGGTAAAGTGACAGGTGTATTTGGAATAGCAGGAGATTACACCTGGTATTTTTGACACTGGAATGCAGGTACTGTCCTGGGTTAACGCTTGGGAGAGGCTGACAGATATCTGGGAGGGGCTGACATTTCCCCTGGGAGCCCTTTGGCACAACAGTCTCTCACCTCTGGAACGAGGCCTTCTCTCTGTGGTAACATTTTGGGCTCCCAGGGGATTTCAGAGGTTGATCCCACAAGCACAGAGCTCGTACTGGGAAGCCCTGGAATTTGGTATCCAGCAAGTGACTATGGTGTTCTCAAGGGAACATTTCATTCTAAAGGTGGAGGTTCATGTTTTCTGCTGCTGATGGAAAATGCAGTTATTTTCCAGTTACCTGAAGACTAATGATATCTGCATCACAGTTGACGATTTCTTCCATGATTCCCTTTTTCCTGTACTCCCAGTTGAGTGCCCAGGATGGGCAGTAGCCATAGAGCTGCCTGGTGGCGTATTTATCACACAACACATTGTAACACATAACTGTAAATGAAGCTGGAGGGAAAGGAAGAAAGAAAGGGAAAGGTCATGAACCTCTGAAATTTGCAAATTATGAACTCTTTTGTTTGGGCAAGAGTGGCTGGAGGAGTTATGGCAAAGCCTAACGCAGAAAAGAAATACCAGCATCCCACTCAAATGACAAAAATTGTATTTGCAGCACACAGCCATATGTTAATTGTTCCAATGAATGTTCCCATAAATGAACACAAACTGCTGTTTTTGCTCTGATCCAGGAAAATGAAGCCCAAGACAAGTTTTTCAGCGTGGTGGTGTGTGAACACAGGGATAAGAACCACAGAGTTACCTGAGGGCAGAATTTGGTCTCGTTCTTTTAAAGTAATCCATGGCCTTGGAGGCAGCTGCTCTGGATGAACTACAAAAAAAATTAAACCAGTGATTAACTCAGGGTTCCTGTTTGTAAGTTGTAATTTCTAAGTCAATGTGATGACTGAACAATAATGTGCTTTGTACCCCCGACTCCCTGAGTCTTTTTATGCTCCAGGGGAGGCAAAAATAATTTAAACGACTCTAGTAAGAGCAAAATTGTCAGTTGTAAGATTCATGACTGTTTTTGCCTCTTGTTTTCAGATTTAAAAGCACCACCGAAATACTCCTGCACCTTGAATGATCTGCTGAAGAAGGAGGGGTAAATCCTGGTGTGCTTCAGACATCCCTTCTCCAGGAACCTTGCCCTGTATCCATCATTCCTGCATTCGGGGGCCATCAAGTGGCAAAGCAGAAGGCTCAGATGCAGAACCAGGAAGCAGGATTTAACTCAGGTACTCGATGTTCTTAATGGCTTTGGTTCTAAATTTGGCACTGTGCGTGCGTTCGGATGACCGTGTTCAGTGGGAACTACCAAAACGGCTTCAGCAAAGAAAACTTTGCACTTGGTCGGTAACTGGAGGGTTTCCAACAGAAACCAGTGGGAACAGCTGGCTGTAACATGGGAGAAGCTTTGACAATCCATGCCAGCCTCTTGCAGGGCACGTAAGGGTGTGTTTGTGGGTACGGCTGGAGCCACCTGACAAAAACGCTAGAGCAGGTAGGAAATACTGCAGTGGATCAGAATCTCACTGCAGCAGCAAATGACTCTTAAACCCCCTTTGTCCACCAGGTCTGTAGGGCTGTACCTGCTAGATTGTCGAGCATGTAGTTCAGTAGCTTTCGGGTTCCGTCTGGGTCCTGGTAGAGGCTGAGAATATCTTGGGATAAAGGATTGCCTGCCAACAGCAGAAAACAGCAGTGGGGTGATGAGCTTCATATCTCACACAAACTGTCAAAAAACCCTGAGGTGACGGACAGAGCTTTTGAGCCCAGACCCCTCAGGAATTCCTGAGTACTCGTAGGATTATGGAACTGGAAAGGAGCTCACCTTTCAAACCCAGGGTTTGTAGCTGGAAGAGCCGTCCAAGTTCATAAGGCAAAACCCGTAACAGATTGTTATTTAAAAGCAATTCCCTGCAGCAAATGCAAAAACACTTTGTGTGAGTATCACTGCAGAAGAAAACTCCTGATGTACTGCACGCTGCTCATCTTCAAAGAGGACGCTTTTCACCCTGAATTTATTATGGAAAGATATGCCAGTCTTCCTGTGTCAAAGCACAAGGGAAATACATTCATCAGGAGAAAAAAAAAAAACAAAGCCCCCAAAACCTCCAAAAGAAAAAATGAAGCCAGGGAGAATTTAAACAGCAGGCAATGATCACCAAGCCTCAAAGAATGTTTCAGAGCAGAAGACTTACAGTGATACAGAAGACTTACAGCTTACAGTGATGTATCAGTGATCAGAAAAGAAGGGCAGTGAACCCAAAAGTAATTATTAGAACTGAAGCTCTGCACCAATCTGGAATTTTCCAGGATTATGTGGAATACAAGAACAGAAAGCAAACTGAAATTCTTGCTCCCAATCCCACGATACAAAATTTTGAGATGACAACCAGAAACACTCCCCTCACCTGAGAGATACCATGTTTCCTAGTTCTGCTGGTAAACTTCTGAGTTTGTTGGATGACAGATCCAAGTAAACCAGGTTGTGGAGCTTGGCAATATCAGGTGGAATGCGAGTAAGATTGTTGTCATTGAGGTGCAGAGCCGTCAGGTGCGTCAGCGACCAGAGCGACGAACTTAAGCTCCGCACTCTGCCTGAAAGAGAAAAGCAAGGAACCACCCCTTCACTCTGGAACCATCGGATACAAACCGCAGGGGATGGCAGAATGATGAGATTTCCAGTGTGGAAGTCCGGTACCCCTCCTCCTCCCCCAGAAAAAAACACGTTCACAACAGGATCCCCTGTCTGGAAGCGTCTGGCGTGATCTGGGGCAGCGACAGCCGGCATTCAAACCCAAACCAACTCACCTGAGATCTCCAACTCAGCCCAGTGTGACTTCTTCCCGTTGGCTACCTCTTCTGCTGACATGATGGTGTAAATTCTGCGAGGATCCGGAGGATCATATTTTTCCTTTGGCATCCCTGTTAGTCTGAAAGACCACCACAACCATTATGGTATGCTGCTTGACAGCCCTCCTTCATCGCCCCTCCCCAGGGACACGCCGCAGTAACACGTCCTGGAGTTCGTGTCTTGTGTTCATTAGCTCTGGTTTCCCATTAACTGTCCAGCTTTTCTCTTTTGTGCTTCTTCATGTTTTGGATCAGCCAAGACCTTTTCATTCCTAATGGCCCAGGGGCTTGGGTAAAGCTCTCATTAGCTCTGGCACACGGGGCTCCAGCCCAGTGCAAAACATGAATTTCAGATGCACCTGCGTCCTGAGGGCACACCAAATTCATCCCATCTCATTGTCCTGACTCCAGTCAGAAGGGAGCTCTCATGTCCCACTCAAAAATATCAGGAGAACTTTGCTCCCCTACCTCCCCAGACTGCTGTGCTGAGCAGGACTGTGTGTGTTTGGTTATAAAACACAAGGTTAGGTGAGTTTGCTGTTCCCTGGTCTTTTCCTCCCCAGACACACGAAATCCACGAGCCTTGATTTTATACAAAGCCAAAGTAGCTGCTCCACAGGATGCAGATTTCCCCCGTACCTTTCCTACAACTGGCTGCAATAGCTGCGAAGCTCTTAAAACAGCTACATCTGAGGAAACAAGCTGAGGTTTTTTTCAGCAAGTCCAACTCCAGAGACATCCCACAGACCCGTTATGAGGGTAAAGCAGTGAAGTTTTTCCAGCTGATGCAGACAGCCAAAGCTGCGCTCCAGCATCGCACGGCAGCAGGAGCTGGCAGGGCTGTCCCCTCAGAAGGGTCTCAGTTACAGGTCTGCTGCTTCCTTTCCGAATGCCCAAGGAAATTCCAGGGGCAAATGTGAGCCCCACGTCTAATTATAGCCCCCTGCTATTTCCAGGTGAAGTCACACGGCAAGGAGAGCCACGGGATAAGAGGATTCTGTGCTCACACTGCCCGGAGCGGGGCCGTGAACGAACGGGTTACTTAAGGACAAGGGATTAGACCTGAAATCCTTCGCTCCCGTCCCAGAACCCCAAACTCGGGAATGGCCTTTCCCAACGCAAACAGATTTGGGAGTGCCAAATCTCTGGTGCTTGGGTTTTGCTGGATTTATCTTCGCTGTTCAACAAGTGCACGTGCAGAAGTGGGGAGCACTTGAACTGATTCCTAAGGGGAAACACAAAAGCTCTGAGGGGGAAAACGGAGCAGAAAGCCAGCAAAGGGTTTATGGCAGAAGGGAGCTTTAAGGATCTCTAAGTCTTAATCATCAAACATCTGAACTGAGCCAGGTGGGTCTTTGTTTTGCTGTTTAATCTGTCATATCTCAAAACAATCTGTATTTTACCACATCTGGACCCAGGACATGGCAAACTCTACTGTCCAGCTCCCAGGATCTGGGTGAGTGCTGCGTGACAGAAGCCCTTAAAACCACGGCGGTGAGACCATCTGAGTCACCCCACGCTCACCCACGGCAGCCCAGAGGTGACCACTGCCCAGGTGACACCATCCGACAGCTCCGGGATTGCAGTTTCCTCCTCGGCACGGCACCCAATTAAATTATGTTGAAATAGCACTCATTAAGACAAGTGCTCTGCCAATTCAGTGTGATTTGTGGCTGTCAGAGGCCTTCCAAAGAAATGAGCCCTGAGCTGTCAGGCATTTTTCAGCTGTTACTCACTTTAATACAGCTTTGAAATCACAGTGAGTCAAACGGGCAGCAGTGTCATTGCCACAGCTACAGAAAAGGGAAAACAAACCTAAATCAAATATACTTTTTTTTTTTTTTCCTTCTACATAACAGCAGCATTGAGCAAGACTTGAAAGCCACCACGTGTATTTCTTTTTTAGGCAAAAAACGAATTTTGCCTCGTTCCCATCTCCCACCCTGCTCGTCCTGGAACTAGAACCATATCCAGAAATCCCAACCTGCTTTTGCTCAGTCTTCAGGGAGCTACCCTGAGTTCCCTGAATCAGCTAATCCCAAAATCAGATGTGCATCAGTGCAAATTTTTGTTGGCTTTTCTTCTAAAGGCTCGCCTTGGAAAACTTCAGGCTACTAAAACCTGCTCTCTGCTGCAGATCTGACTCTGTAAACTTAAGAGTGTGACCCTGATTTTGGGTAAATCAAACACAAAATCTCTTCCTGATTTTGCGTAAATTAAAGAAGACCTGAAGATGACAGCATCAGTGCACTAGTAAGAACAGTATTTAAGCTCTGGAGGCTCCTAACGTAAGTCTTTGGGTCCAAGTCCATCCCCAAAAACCTGGAGCTCACTGGCAGAGCAGGATTGCTAAGTAAGTGTGGTCCCAGGTGAGTTTAAGCAGCCCTGGCTTAGGTGTGTATCAGAAGGGCCAAGGGCAGGTCCTGGGTTGGCCAGCAGTAGGTCCAGGCCTGCCTTTTTTTTTTTTCTTTTTTTTTTTTTTTTTTTTTTTTTTTTTTTTTTTTTTTTTTTTTTTTTTTTTTTTTTTTTTTTTTTAACTTCTGTTTTTTTATTCTGTTTCATTGCCTGTTTTTTTGTGTATGGCACACGCTGACTATCATTTCAAGCCTGGAAAAAAAGGAATAATGGAACAGTACTGAAGGTGTGGAGTGTCAAAGAAGAAAGGCTGAGCTATGAGGCTGCACCACAGGCTTTTAATCTGAAGGTATGTTTTTTTTGGGCAACAAACAAGAGGAGCTTCTGGGTTTCAGACAAGCAGTCCCTTCCCCAGGGAGGGTAGAGGACGCATTTCTTAAATTACAGTGACTACAGCATGTTTTGTTTAAGCTCTTTCATACCTCAATGCATAAATGAATTGCCTGTCTCTAACGAGGAAGCAAATGGAAAAGAGCTGTGGCTGCATCTCCCTGCAGCCCTGCGCTCATGGATGTCTGGAACAACTCCAAACCCTCCCTCCAGCAGAGTGACATTCTTTGTCATCCTTTTTTTTTTTTCCCCCCCCCAGCCTCTGTATATGGATGAGTCAAAGTGCTGAAGCATTTTGAAAACTATGCAGCAGACAGCCCTGAATCACTCCTCCTTCCTCTGCACTGGCCAGCCCCCTCCACACGGTGATGGCTCCCAGGACCCAGCAATGCTGACGGGCCGGAGGGGGTGTGTGTGTATGTGTGTACGCACCGGCACGTGTTGCTTAACGCCGGGAAGGCGGACCAGGAGCCAGGAAACGTTTTTATCTGTTGATCTGTGATCTAAATATCTATTTATGTATTTGGTAAGCAGGCCCGTATTCTGCTTTGAGGAGTGTGTGGCAAAAGAACTCCCATTCCGGCCTCCCTAAGGAGATGAGAAGCACAGCCAATACCCACTAACACAAAAACTGCCTAAAGATTTTTTAAAGGGGGGGGGAAGGAAAATAAGGTGTTTTTTTAAGGGTATGTTAGGGGGGGGGTTAAAAAACCCTGCTAATAGTGGGATATGTGGAGATGTGTTAGCTTAGGGTAAACTACTTTCTATATCCATATGTATGGTATCTAGTATGCATATACCAGCAGGAAAATATTGGGAGGAGTGGGCAATTTTGATAGCCTTTTGCTTGGATCTGAGCTTTCTTCACGGCTCTTCCCTGCAGGAATGTGTCCAGCCACCTCTGTGTCTGCTGCCTCTACCCGAAGTCCAACGAGCATCCAGAGTCTGCCATCCCAGGTACTGGTCTCTTTTCAGTTTCTAATTCCAAGTAACCTATTTGGGAGCAAATATTAGCAGGGAAACAAATACAAATGTCTCCTCGTGGACTTTTAATTAAAAAAACCCAAACCCAATTTTTGAGGAGATTTCAAATAATCCCAGAGGAAAGTATAATGGAAGTACATAAACAGAGGCTCCTTGGCCATGAGTAAGTATCCTACCAACAGGAAGAGAGTTACACATCTCTGCAACCCTTAGGTTCAGCCTTTAAATCCCTTAACTTGAAACTTTTGGGGATCCCTGTACTGGTGCTGAGAGGATGGAGAGCTGTTCCTCCCAGGTGTAACTGGGGGTGGGAATAGGGACGGGTAAGAGGTAACCATGAACCTGCAGCCAGCAGTAAACTCAGCAGTGGTGGGATCTCAGGGGGGCTTCCTGTTATCACTTCAACAAAGACCAAGGCATAGAAGCAAACCCTGGAGAAAACCAGCAAAAGCCAAGGGGAGGAGTGGGAAGGGAAGGAACGAGCTGTATTTGATTAATTCTAGAGCCAACTGGCACACACTTGATGGAAATGTTAATTGTCCTACTGACATACACCCACTAGTTATTCCCCCCTTCCTTCATCTCCTCTAAATGAAGCACAGAGTCTTTTCCTAAATCACAGGTAACATTAGAATATCCAGGTTTCCACCCTTCCTCTTCCTCCGTGTCACACCCTCACTTACAAGAGCAGCTTAACTATTTACTGCATGGCAACACTACAAGGCATTACGTAGGTATTTTTTTATCTCTGTACTTAGTTAACATTCAGTTTTCACTCCAAACGAACAGTTTCTGCTCTGCTGGAAGTAGCCAGTTAGTTACCCCTCCTTGTGTGCATGACAGCTCCTGAATATCTGCACCAAGTCACGGCAGAGGGACACCTGCCTTTGTCTACAGGTGACTTTTATAGCTTTATGCTTTCAGAGGATCTCCTTGGGCTTGTTTACATGCAAACACAGGGCAGGTCACTCCCAAAAAGTAAGGCTCTGCTTAGCAGAAATGCTGACAAGGGGCTATTATAGCGCAAGAAGAGTTTCAGCAGCCAGCCTGTAAATAAATCTAATCAGAAGCCCCCAAAGGGCTGGTTTGAATGGTGTACTTATTTATTTACACGAGTGTCTTGCAGTGTTTCAGAGAAATGACCCACTTGCAACGCTGCTCCAGCCCCTGGAGAGTGTTGGGCTTCTAATGAGATCCAGGCCAGAGTAGCTTAAAGGATTAGGAACTGAAGTCACTGGCAGTGTGGGGAAGGAAGCAGCCAGCGCCGGATCAAGACAACACGCTGTTCTGGGCTGTGGGCACGGGGCAGAGCTTAAAGCAGGTTTTCCTAGGACTGGTTTGACAGCCACAGGACTGGGGAGACAGAAAACTCCCAGCAGCCAGAACGGAGTAAGCTGCAAGTGTTGAGGTGTGTGAAAGTCCCTCGGAGACGTGAGGGGAAGAGCTGCTTCACTGACAAGCCTGATCGACAGCCATTCAGTCACTGTTTAGGAATGACAAAGACCCTGCTCAGGTTGCTGCCAGCCAACACCTTGTCTCATTCAGCTCCTCGGGATCAATAACTGGACAGGAGTCAGCTATCGACCTGTTTTTTGAGGAAAACTCCACCAGAATCGTGAATCAGTAAATGGGGAGCGGCCCTCTCCATGAACCTTTCTTTAAAATACAGCTGGAATCATCAATAACCTTTCATCCCTCAAAGAAAAGTTTGTGCTGGGAGAAAAGAAATGAGATTATTTCCACGGCCACGATGTTATCTTCCCCTTTCAGTGGGAGGCTGCCAGCACTTTCACAAAATAAGCAAAGCCCAGCAACACTTCAGCTACTCTCCCTCCACGATCGAGAGATAAGGCCCGGCTTATCACCCACAATCTGTTCTTCACAGCAATAATTAACAGCCTGCCACCATAAAAACTCACTGCAGACAGCTTTAAAGTTACAAGGCCTGCCCTGCTCAGCTACAGGTAGGTTTGGATGAGTAAAGATTTTAAAAGAAAGGAGGAGAAAGGAAATAAAAAAACACCCAAAGGAAAAAGTACACACCAATAGTGGAAACTGTTTTGCAATCGCTGGCACAATAAATGAGCCCAGTTTAAAAAGGCCACAGGATGCTGCCCCAGCGCTCAAAGTAGCTGGGCTTGTATGCTCAGGATAAGAGACAAGAGATCTGTTTAAAACAAAGCAGTTTATAGGCATAAACCCTGTTCTGCATAGGGTATATTTAAATGTACTTTGCTTTTTAAATCCAGGAAGTTAAAAAAGCTTGTCTGATAGCCTGAGCAAAGCATATTATTTGGATATCGAAAGACAGTTCAGCTGCTTCTGTATCTGATTATCCCAGTCTCTCCCATGAGCATTTACACCATACTTAAACTTCCAAATAGAATCACAGACTGGTTTGGCCTCCAGGCCCTGTCCAACCTGGCCTCAGACACTTCCAGGGACGGGGCAGCCACAGCTTCTCAGGGCAGCCTGTGCCAGAAGAGATGCTGAACCTGTGTGGGTTCCTCTGTTCAGCCACCCAAAGGCATTTCACCTAAAGCCAGGGAATAACTTTGGCAAGTTTTGATGCACGTGACAAGTTAATTACAGAGTTCTCTGAAAGGAAGTTAAAGGAGGGAAACACAGTCCAACCCACCCTGCTTTACAGAAGTGGAGCGTAAAGCAAGAGCACAGACCCAGCAGTACGTGCAAGAGGCAGGTATGGATTCAGGAATGCTGAAGCCTTGTTGACAGGCTGAAGGTTTTAAACCACATAATTTTCCAAGTAGAAAATGCTTGTGAGTTTGACTCATCTCCCCACGCGCACTTCCAGGGTTGTTTTGTCCAGGCCTGCCATGAAATAAATGGCCAGTGATTTAAAACTGAACTATTCCACCTTTACCTGCACAGGCAGCACCTGGAAGTGGGCAGAAAAAAAACCTTGCAGTTCAGCACAGGACTAGTCTCAAACCTCCCTGTCTCAAAATACTTAATAGATGTGCTTCTCTCACCCCCTCAAAATATTGCTAATTTCTAGGGTGAACTCCACTCCTTCACCATCTTTTGCTCCAGACCAAGGAGGAGAAGAAGGACGCTCGCTGCACAGGTACAAACACGTGCCTGGAGACGGAACTGCTCCCAGGGGTAAAATGCAATTTGGCTGGAGGAAGAGCTGCAAGCCGAGGGCCAGCTGACAATGGGAACCCGGCTCTTCCTGGCACCTGGGACTGTATTCTGGTATGTGAGAAGTCATCTGGCCCCGCTTTCCTTTTGCTTTCTTAACTTTCCAAAACAAAAAGGGATTCAGAGGAAAGGCGTTCACAAGTGGAAATTTCGGCGGGGCGGGGAATTCATCCTGTGCTGGCTCCTTCCAGGGCCAGCTGCAAATCAGCGGGGCAGAAGAGAGAGAAATGGAGTTTTAAGGTACAGAGGAAGCAGGAGTGAGTTTGCTGGAGCTACTCTCAGCACTGCCCCAATAGCCCTTTTCCTGCCCGGTGCTGCAAGTTCCACAAGGCCAAGAAAATGTGGAAAGGAGTGGGTTTTTTTTACCTGGAGAGGGCAGGGGCTGAGCAGTGCATTCCGATACGTGCTGCGACACGGAGAGAGCGAACCAGCCCTTTGGAAAGGCCAGGAAAGGCTGGCAGTTCCACAGGGTTGGCAGCGGTTCCTGTCTGTGCTGATCCCCAAGGATGACTGGGTGACACCTTCACGTTTCCCTCTGAAGAGTTTAAATTCTGCTCCAGCTCCCAGCCAGGAGCAGGGAGAAGAGCAAAGGATATTCTCCACGTGGAGAAAAGAAGAGCTAAACGCCTGCAGAAGCAAGTCTTCAGCACTCTCTCCAGACTGTTCCTAAAGCCAAGCCAGAGCCTTTTGAGAGGGCCTTTAGATTGATTTCTTAGGAAGGGGAAGGAAAAAAAAAAAAAAAAAAAAAGAAAGCAAAACTAATTTGTGATTAGAAGGCACAAAGATGTTCACTCAGATGGAAGCTTTCCTGAAAAGCGAGGGGGGAAACTACCCGAGCAATTCATTCAGCTGCCCTAGAGGGTAAACAGCGAACTTGAGCACCATCCACAAATCCCGAGTATTATTATTAACAGCTTGACCAAAAGCTTATGGTTTTTGTAGTTCTCTTTGTACTTGTGAAATCTGATGGACTGAAAAAAAACCCCACGTTTGACACCAAAGCAAAGAGGGGGGTCCCTCTGCAGCAACACAAGGCTAAACGTTCCTCCCTCTCCTGCACTTTGCGGAGCTGCCTCAGCCCAGGAATATTTTTTTGCTTTTCAAAAAAAGCATTTCAGATGTTTAATTGGGTCTTTACTTCCAGGCAGCTGGAAGCAGCAGTCTGGGGAGCCGCTGACTTGCCGTAGCAATTGTGGAAGGATTGGGGGATAAAGGACGCTTAATCGGGAGCTTTGGTTCGCGTTCCCATTCCCAACCCAGCCTCCGGGGACCACAGGTGTGTAACTTGGGAAGGGGAAAGGCTCCTCAGGTACATCAGAAATGCCATTAATCACTTACATCAGGAAATGCCAAAGCAGGGGTGAACACACACACACACACACACACACACACACACACACACACACACACACAGAGCCTTATCTGCTCCCTGTTGACAGGTGCAGGTTACAAGCTGAAGTTAAATTACTCGTGTGCAAGACACCCAACAGCTCAGGGGGGCTCTGTCCTGTTCCTTGCTGCAGCTTCCCAAATCCCTCTGTTCACTCACTGCACCTGACTTGTGGCTACAACTGCTCGGAGCTGATTTTTCTTGGCCTTGGGGCATTTTTCTGAGGGCTGGTCTCATGCCTCCCCTTGAAAGGGATAAAATGTGTTTCTTGTAGAACACCATACAGCGTATTTCTGCCTATCTTTAATCCCATTTTCAATGACCACCTGTCAAACTGCTTTCTGTGGCGGTGTCTGAGCAGTCCTAAAGTTGCTTTTTGGGAGCTGCCCAAGAAACTGCAAAGGTTTTACTTCTAAACAGGGCTCCGGAGAGATGTTTTGCCACTGCTCTCTGTTATTCAGAGTAAGTTCAGTTTGGGCAGAGTTTTTTTCTGGTGGGGATGGATTTTTTTCCTTGTGCTTGACTCTCCTCACACAAGCCTTTAATGACACAGAAGGAGAGAAGCAGAATTCCAGAAATACTGTCACTACCTAAAGATCTTGATAAAGAAACATCCTAAAATAGTCTTTTTTTTTCCTCTTTTTTATTATTACAGGTGAGATGGAGAAGCTGCACAGCCAAATCACTGAAACCCAAAGAATTAATCAGGTGAAGTTACACTGTGAGCAGCACCCAAGCCTTGATTACAGCCTGTCATCGAGGCAACCGCAGAATTTGGACCAAAAAAAAAAAAAAATATTACAAGAGGCTTAGCATTTAATGCTCTAAAGTAGTAAATCCACAGCAAATCCTCCTGAATCTAAATATGCCTAAGACATATTTTAAGTTATTTTTTAAAGTTTTCTCAAGTGCCGTCTTACGCTCCCAAAGTCACCTCCGCTGTTGCTTTTGCTTTCTCAGGAGTATGCAAATCAGGTTACATCCCATGCCTCGAGTGCCCTTTTGGCATCCCAAAAGCTCTTTCCAATAAACAGTAAGCAAGCTGTTTATTTGGATTTATCTCCCTTTTTAAACTCATGTAACCTGAAAGTGTCTTCTGATAGTTTGTTAGAATTTTTGGGGGGCAGTTCAAAAAAAGTTTGCTTAGAAATGATGCATGTCACAGACACATAATTTTACCCCTTAAAACCAGAATGACCTCGGGCAGGTTTTAGTAACAAAAAAAAAAAAAAAAAGAAGTACACCTCCCCACTTGTGCACACTGACTCTGAACAAAAAAGTCAGCAGCTGCTGGGATCTACCTAAATGTAAGTTTTAATTCTTGGTGGTTTAGATTTAAATTAAATAGAGACCTACCAAGTGTGGAAATTAATTAATTTTTCTCCACTGGTGCCTTTTCACTTTCCTACCAGAGTCCACATGCACCTTGGGATCACCTTCTGGCTTATTTCTCCAAAGACTGGTGTGAAAGCTAAACTTGGTGAAAAGCCTGCCTGGGTTTTTGGCAGAATCCAAGGGTGTTAATGGAAAACAACCCCAGTCCACATGGAAAAGAAAGTAATCCCAGTCTTAACGTGAAGCTGGAAGTTTTACCAACACCTCTGGACCAAAAGAGAACAAGCAGCCATAACATCACTTACTTCCACAAGAGAACTCCCACCGCAAACTGACGGAGCTCCTACAGATTCTGGACAGGAAGAGGAGAGCCACACACAGCAAGTACACCCGGAGCAGCCGTCCCTTCCCTTCCCTTCCCTTCTGAGCCAGGCAAAGAAATACCTGAGCACGCTACATCCCTGGAAACATGGGGCTCTACTGGCAGACAGGGAAAAACAGCCTTTAAAAGACGAAAACAAGCTCTATCAGTAAAAGTGCACTTCTGCAGATAAACTGCTCCTGCGGCTGGGACTTCTGCTGGCACAGCTCTGTCGGTCACGGGTCACACTCCGGCACCGCGCGCGCAGACAGAGCTGTGCCAGCAGAAGTTTGCCATACAAACCTGGGGGGGAAACTCGGGAGCCGCTAAAATGGATCTGCAAAGTCCTGTGTTTTTCCAACAGTCCGATGATGATGGGGAGCCTGTCTTACCCCCGGCACATGAATCTCTTGCTTCCAAGCACAGAAGAAAACTGGACTTCACGCAGGAACACGGCAATACCTGTGAGCCATTTACACTGCACTTTATCCCTCAATTAAATACACAAACTAAGGGAGGAAGAGCCCCTGTAGGAAGGGAAGATAAAAGGGAATAAATTAAATTGTGCTGTACTTCAGCACTCGGAGCAGCCCGCCCTCACTTCTCATGGTAAGAAGGGAACAAAACTGAAAGTGTTTAACGGGATTTGTTTAGCAGAGAGCACAGCACTGCAGAATTCCCACCGCTCCGTGAAACCCAACAGCTGAACTGTAACAGGACTTTTGGCGTCTTCAAAAATCCCTGGAGGAGATTTAACGCCCGAGTTGGTGCTCAAGCAGAAGTTCTGTTTGGGTGAGTCCACAGGATACTGCGGATCATTATTCCAGAGCACGGAGCAGCGAGATGTCAGAAATGCACGCTGCCCATCTGCTCCAGAGAGAAATTATAAAATCAAGCTCCAAATAACCTCCCATCACCCTGTGGGAGGGGAAGGAAAGCCACGGAGAAGGGCTACGTCCAGGAAGTTGGGTCAGGCTGCGGCACTCGCACGCGGCGCAAAGCAAACCTCAACCGTCCAGCCAGCCTGGATCTTGTGTGAGGCACCGCCAGCGTGTGGGAGAGGGATGTTTGGCAGCACAAATTTCCCCATTTTCCATGGGGAGAACACAGAAGTAAAGTCACTGGCAGTCCCGCGTTTGTAGAGGCCGTGCTCCACCTTCCTCAGAGCTTTCTGGCCCTCCAAACCGGGACACAGCTTCTAGGAATTCCTTGGGTTGTGGCACGCTGTTGTTAGAAATAATGTACTTTTTTTTTTCTTTTTAAAGATAAACACACAAACATCACCTTCATCATCGGTCATGCCTGCACACCGTGAGTGACTTCAGGGTGGGGTGTTCTTACCCCCCAGGTTATTTTTGGGTGGTGGGGAAGTGTCACAGAGAGGGGAGGGCACAGGTATGAATTTAACTGTAGGAAATTCCCCGCTTAACCAAGGCCAGCTAGAATCTTTATCAGCAGGCCAGCTCCTGAGAAGCTGCACCTCCCCAAAACAAATACTCAGCCTATTCAAAGTTTCCAAAATGGCCCGATTAAAGCCACTGGTCTAAAGATTTCCAGGAGGTCAGACAAAAGCTGGTGTGTGGCTGGGAGCGACCGAGCCCTTGGCCATGTTTACCACCAGCACTTCAATTTAAAAACCAAGTCCCAAACTGGGACAAAAACTCGGAGTTTAGGTGCATTCTGCTATTTGCAAGCACCGTGGCCTGGGCTGGCAGCACAGGTTTTACTGCAGGTGACGTTGCTGTCATCCTCCTTCCACAGGACTGGACCACAGAGAAACCACTAGGAAAAGGCGGTGAGACCAGGGTCTCCCCAAAAACACCCTCACCACAAACACACCCTCACCCCAAAAACATCCTTTGCCAAAAGACATCTTCACCAACCTGCTGGAGGGTCACCCACGGTGCCAGGCGAAGGTGTTCCATTATGGGACGTGGGCTGGCACAGAGGTAATTAGGGCCAAGTGCTTGTCCCACAGCCGAGCTTCACCCCATGGCCGGGATTTGCCCCATGGCCAGGATTCATCCCACAGCTGAGGTCCATCCCATTACTGGGGTTCACCCTGCGTGGCCAGGATTCACTCCATGGCCAGGATTTGTCCCATGATCGAAGTTCACCCCACGGTCACGATTCAGGCCATGGCTGGGATTCACCTCACAACTGGAATTTACCCCACAGCCAGGATTTGCCCCACGACTGGGATTTACCCCACGGCTGGAATTTGTCCCACGGCCAAGACTCGCTCCACGGCTGGGATTCACCCTGTGGCTGGGATTAGTCCCACGACCGGGACTTATCCCATGGCCAGGATTTGCTCCATGGCCAGGATGTGCCCCATGGCCGAACTTCACCCCGTGGCCGGGATTTCCCCCTCGGGCGGGATTCGCCTCACGGCCGCGATTTACCCCACGTCCGGCATTCACCCCTCGGCCAGGGTTCACCCCATGGCCAGGATCTGCCCCGTGGCCGGGATCTGCCTCACGGCCGGGACCGGTCCGCTGGCCGAGCCTCACCCCGGGGCCAGGACTCGCCCCCCCGGCCGCGGCTCCCCACACGGCCGCCCCCCGCAGCCCCCCGGCATCCCCGCCGGCCGCCCGGGGCTCGGCTGCAGCGCCGACCGCGGCCTCCGGGGCCGCGCCGCGGGGCCGATCCCGCTCCCCCCTCACGCGGTGCCGCCGGCGGGGCCCGACATGGCGGCGGGGCCGTTCCCGCTCCCCCGCTCACCTGCATGCGGCGCGGCGGGGCGGCGGGGCCGGCGGGGCGGCGGGGCGGGCACCCACGACATGCGGGCGGCGGCCCGCGGGCGGCGGGGACGGAGCCGCGGGGCCCGGGCGGCGGCGGCGGCGGCGGCGGCGGTGGTGAGCAGGAGGAGGAGAAGGAGGAGCGGCGGCAGCCGGGGAGCAGAGGGCGGAGGAGACGGGGGCGGGCGCGGGGAGGCGGCGGGCGGTGCCGGGGACGCGGCGGGGGGGATGGCGGGCACTCGCGGGGCCGTGTCAGCGCGCACGGCCGGGCCCTGCCACTCGTCGGGAGATCGGGGAGGCCCCTTCCTCGGCTTCAGCCCTCGGCTTTACCCGCCCCCCCCCACCCGCTGCCACAGCTGTCACCGGGCTGCGGCGCCCAAGCGGGCGTGCCTTGGCTTCGCGGGCCGCTCGCCCCCGACGCTGCGAGAGGGAAGAGCCCACCTTTCCGAGGGGATTTGACATCTCCTCGTCGGTGCCAGACACCTTTGTTTCTCCGCAGGCGAAAAACGTGGTTTTGGCGCCCAAATTTCAGTGGCACGGCCCCTCGTGAGTCCTGAGGGCAACTGGAGCAGGGAAGAGCAGGTAAATGTCGTCCCGTCGGCTCCCGGCCATACCAGCAGCCCTTTAGGATAGACGTGAGGGAAACATGGATTGGAAAATAAAATAAAAGCAGCATCCCGACACGGGGAGGGATGTGGGTCTGTGTGTACCCAGGTGGGAAAGCAATGGTGGAAAAGAGAAGCATCAGGGATATGGAGGGAGGTGTCTGAGGGAGCAGCAGGTGGCTGGGGGGGGGGGGGGGCATAGAGGTGCCGAGAGATCAGGCCTGAGGACTTTTTATTGGAATTTTCTTTCTACAGCAGCTGCCTGGACTCGTGCCGGACTCAAAAAACTCGAGAATGCCTGGAGAGCGGGAAGTGCCTCTGTTGGTAGGAAACGGGCTTTGGAGCAAGTGCGTAATTGGGAATGGGTGCACGATAACCGTGAGCCCATGCTTCTCTCCCAAAATCCACGATCCACAGCAGAGACCTTGTGTCTAAGAAGCCAAAGGCTTGCAAGGGGATTCCAGAGTCACGGAGTTAAGACTGTGAAGGATTCAGGTCATTACCTGCACATTAAACAGTCTCCTGTTACATCTTCCACCACTGTGGGAGTCAAACATTAGGGAATCCTAATGCCCATCCGAAATAATTCCGTTCCCCACCGTGTGTTTTAAACTCACGCTGTCGCTCCTCACTGAGGCGGGTTCCTTTTCCTCCTGTCACCCTCAAAATTCCCCATCTCCATCCTTTTCCAGGACGCTGAGCATAGAGTTACATTGGAGAAACATGGATCAGTTTTGTTGACTCATTTCACACAGCCACACGTGTCTGCTTTAAAAATTCTTGGACACGGATTGATTAGGATCAGGATGGTTTTAGTCAAAAAAGCACATCAGGAATGTGGAAAAAAGGCCCCTCCTTTAAGCATTATAGTTTGTGGTATGTATCTGATCAGTTTAGGAGACAGTTAAACAAAGTCCTTGCAGGTGGATGCTGCTTCATGAGTGGAGCAGTGTGGATCAGGCAGCTCTTTTCCCAGTCCATTCGCAAGGGAACAGGAGCGATGGCAAGCAGAAAATACCATTCTGGAATTACACAGGGCTCTGAGCTCACACTATTAAGCGTTAACTAGATAATGCTCGCGTTAATTAGACAGTGTTCGCCCAAGCAGACGTGGTGGAACAGGTGTAAACGCGCCCATGTCACCGGCTCTGGCTGCCCTCAGGAGCCGCCGCCATGTTGGTTCGGGGGCGGGAAGAACAGTTTTGGTGGCAGCGCTATGATACAACCCCGGGGTTGCCCCAAGACCCCTTTCAGGCCGTTAAGAAGCGAACTGGAGGCTTTTAACCAGACCCCGGCAAAGGGTTACCCCTCCCTGGGCAGCGGGCTCACGCCGGGAGGGGGGAAAAGCTCACCCGCGGAACGTCAGGCCCGGGCCTCGGTGGGCGGGGGGACAGCGGTAAGGGGAACACCACCGGGCCTGCGGACCACCGGAACGTTTCTCCTCGGTCTCGGGGAGCCAGTTCCGGGGGGATCTCTTTGGGCGTTGCACCGCGGCGGCTCGGCAAGATGGCGGCGCCCAGCGCCCGCTGCCTGTGGAGAGGTGACGGGGTTGGGCTGAGGGAGCTGCGGGCGCCACCGTCTCTCCGCCTCTGCCCGCCGCCCTGGGGGCTGGGGAGCGCCTGCTCGGGCGGGGCTGGGGTAGCGAGAGGCCGTGGCGCCTATCTGAGGCGATGTTCGCTCTTCACCCGCAGCACTGGCCCCGCGGCACGGGTGGGCCCGCGCCGGGCTGGAGCAGCGCCTCGCCGCCCCCGCCGTGGTGAGCGGAGCGACCGCCCGGCCCTTCGCGGCGGCAGCCAAGTGAGTGCGGGTCCGGCATCCCGGGAGGCTCCTTCGGCCGCGGGGGTGGTGGTAGGGGGATGTGTGGGGCGTGTTTGGTGTCTGCAGTGCTGCTCCAACAGCCCAGTGGACTGGGTGGCGTCTCACACGCTCCCAGAGAACAACCTGGGCTCGCAGGGAGTGTTTGCTATTACCCTTGTCGTAAAGAGTGTCACGGTTATGGGGAAAGACTGAGCAGGTGTTTTTGAGATGTGGTTTTGGGGTTGTGGCAGGGTTTACAGCATGAAGGCTGCTGAACTCGTGGGCTCGGTTTCAAACACTTCCTCGTCTAAAGTTTGCTTTTTACTGTTTAATTTGTTGTTTCTTCAATAATACAGCATGACTGGGAGAACTTTTTTTTTTTTTTCCCTTTCTTTGAGACCCTCTGGAAATAGAGAGGAGAGTGAAAATTTGGGCCGGTGTTTAACTGCATGCAAAATGCTGCAGGGAAGGGAGGGCAAACCTTTTTTATAAGGTGTGGGACTGCTACAAGAAGAAGAGAAACCTTGCAGTTCTTCCTTCTCTGTTGGGTTTTCTCAGTTTAGGCCAGTGCAGGTGAAGGCCAGACCAGTGGGTGTGTTCCCCTTACCCGGGTTTTGCTTTGGTGCAGCGACGGGTCCTTAACAAATGACACACCATGGTCTTGATAAGCCAAACTCTTCAGCTGATGACCTAACCATGGGTTGTGGATTTATTTTTTGTTTTATGTTTTTTTTTTGTCTCAGACCGTCCAAAAAAGGTGCTCAGAGGACCAAGCAGGAGAAAGGCAAGGACAAACCCGCTCCCCGGAGGCGGCCGCTGATGACCAAGCCCGTGGACGACGTGTACCTGACGTGGCTCTACCGGCGCCCCTTCTATGACCTGGAGCAGGCCGTGGGCATGCTGAAGAAATTCCAACAGCTGGACTTCACTTACCCCGGGCAGTTTGTCTATATCAACGTGTTCCTGGATATGGCCCTGAAGAAGGTTAGGTCGGGAAGGGTGTAGGAATCCTGGCACTTCTTCTGAGGGTTTAAATCTGCTCCAGACTTGGAGCTTCCGAGGTTTTGCCAACACACCTCGGTGTGCTGTGCTCTGGGGTCACTGTTCCACTTTTTCACCTTGTTTGGATTTGTAACTCGCCCTTGAGTCGTGATTTCTCTTTAGTTTTCTTCCTGTCTCTTTGATTTGCTTCCTAGAAAAAGCTGGATCCTTTCTCGGGCGCCGTCGTCCTTCCCCATCGCTTTACAGATGAAGTGAATAAGGTCTTGGTTTTCACAGAGGTGGGTGAGCCTGGATTAACTGTATTTGCATGTGTTTTGTGTGTCCAGAAAACTCTTGCAGCTGTCCTTTGCCACTTAATCGTTCTAGCAGAGCAGACTTCCATATATCTGTATGAGGTGGGCCAAAAGACGCGATTTTTTGTCTTGGAGCAAAAGCTCAGTGCTAAGTTTTTACAAAACTGTAGCCTTTTTGGTACAGACTAATTGGTAGTACAGCTGTTTATAGCTCTTTTTTTCTCTCAACAGAATGAGCAAGAAGCTGAAATAGCTCGGGAGAATGGAGCTGATATCGCGGGGGGACTAGAATTAGTCAAATGGGTATTCATTTTTATTTTTATTTTATTGAGAATTATATATACAGCCTAACTTAAACAGTATTTGGGCCTGGGGAGGGGAAGAAACCTGATGTCCATAAACTCCAGCTTGCCAGTGTGAAGAGTGAGGGATAGGTTTGTGTGCTCAGACAGCTTTGTAGGTCCACTTGTGTGCTAAATATAAATAAATTGTTTCTGCTGCAGATCTTGGAGGATGAAATCCAAGCAGATTTCTACGTAGCTGTTCCTGCCATAATATCCAAGCTAATACCACTGAGGAACAAACTGAAACGGAAATTCCCAAGCACCAGAAGAAGTAAGAAGTGATTTTTTTTCTTGCAGCTCTCAATTGCTGGAGAGGATTTAACTCTGGAGGTGCCGCTGAAAGGGTTTTTTGGCAAGGATGTGTAATTACATTGAGCATTAGACTGTATTTGACTGCACCACTTGTTCTGTCTTAGGTAAAGGAAATTTTAGGAATCCAGATTTGTACTTTTCTCCTACAGCAGGCAAATCTGTGGTTAGAACCAAGAGAAATTTGCCTACTAGGTGCCCTTAATTAATCCTGGTGAATGAGGAAGGAGGAAAGATGGAAATTATTTCTCTGATACCTATGAGGACACCATTGTCTTGTTTGTGAAATTGCATTTTGGAGTGCAGTTCAACTGCCTTAATTAATCAGCACTTTAGTGATACCACACTAATCTGTGCTAATAAACATCACTCAGACAACTCTTTTTGCCTTTTTTTTTTCTTTTTTTTTTTTTTTTTTTTTTTTTTTTTTTTTTTTTTTTTTTTTTTTTTTTTTTTTTTTTTTTTTTTTTTTAATAGATTCCCTGGGCACGGATATCCCCAAAATGGTGCAGCTCTTCAGAGAATGTCACGAGTACGCCGTGCAAGACGAGTGTGTAATCAAGACAAGGATAGCCAGGGTAAGTTTATGGAGAGTTTTCTCTCCTCAGCAGAAACTCAAGTTAGTATTTAGAGAAGGGAAAAAAAAAAAGATGTCTTCAATCTGTTGCCCAAGATTTTTAGGCGTGTTTTTTAGCTGACCTGTGAAGGAAGTGGAACTCTTCGTTGTGCAGCATTTTCAGCTGGTTTTAACCCTTTTCTTTTTTTTTTTAAGTGAATAAACTATGTGTTTATGGTCAACAGGGACAGAAGGATCAAAAAGTCTTTGCTTTACTCAAATAATTAAAGACTTTTAATTTTGATAACTGTAGTTCTGGACTGAAGCAGAAAGAACTGCATTACACCTGAACTACAACATTAATTTCTGCTAACTTATTTATTTCTTTTCTGTGCTTCAAACTGTGTGTTTTTTCTTTTTTTTCTTCCGGTTTGTCTCTTTTCAATCCTGCCTGATACTAGGTTTTCCTCTAACTGATGGTGGCACAGGAAGGAAGGGTATAAAACACCTGATCCCAAGAGAATTGTTGCAGACTTTTAACAGGGAGATGGCTGACTGTGTGCACACCAGGATTTAGTGTGGAATGCTTGTTTGGAAGCTGGGATATTTATTTGGGTGTGGGAGCTGTTATGAAATACTTGAAACCCTCTGAGCGCTGCCTGTCAGCATTGTGGGGCTGTTGGTGAGGTTTTTAACTCCCTACCAGGGAATGTGGAGAAGGATAATCTACCCAAATGTAGGAGAAATAAATACCCAGATTTATTCACCTAGGCTGCAAGTATCACCACGTTTAACTAACTTGGCATTGTCCTTTTCCAGCTGGATATGCCTACGGAGCACATAATTGCCAATCTAAAGACGGTTATCCACGATATCTGCACCTTCAAGCCACCACCCCATGGTAAGGAGCTGTTGTTCTAACGTGGGAGTTCAAGTTATAACAAACAAAAGTAAGAGTCGAGTGGTTTTAACTGGTTGTCATTAAGGGGCCTTTCTCTTCTCATGATGTTTCTAAAATTTCTGGGGCATCTGCTTAGCTGGAGAGGAAGTGGTGATTCATGAGCATAATTTTAGGGAAGAATAGCCTTGTGTGAGCGAGGAAAACAGCTTTTTATACTAAAACTTGCCTCTTGTCTGCCAAAAGAATCATCTTGCATCTCACCCAGTGATGCTGTTAATAGTAACTGCTGTACAGAGACCAGACCATGCCTTGAGGAGTCCAAATAAAAAGCGTGAGGGGTTGGTTGACTTGAAATATGGAGTCTAGGTATGCTTTGCTATCAATCACTTAAAATTATTAGTTATTGATAACTTGATTAGTTCCTGTCGGGCTTTGCATAGGTAATAGCAGGTACCTGCCAGGGAGGATGGGAAACCGTGTGCTGAAGGGATGTGTCTTGCTCTGGGCACGGCGGGGATTAGTACTGAGGTGAGGCAGTCTGGAGCCCTGGGAAGGGCCAGAGTGACCTCATGGGGGGTGTTTGTTTGCCAGATCCCATTGTGCAGAGGTTGGTGATCAGATCTTCAACCAGTGAAGGTTTGCAAGTGAACCTCGATGGGATTCTGCCTCAAGTGGAGAAAGCAAAAGAAAAGGAAGAAGAAGAAGAAAGAAGCGCCGATGATGAGGATGAAGCAGAAAAGCCTGTCCAAGAACCCGTTAGTACCTGAGGTCTCTCCTTGTAGATCTGACGGTCAAGCTGGGGAAGCAGAGGGTGTCATTCAAATCATGCTCTGTGGAAACAAAAAAATAAATGGAACTCGTGAATGTCACTTACAAATTCTGTGTGACAATGTCACAAACAGGAGCCTGTTATCAGAACCAGGGATTTTTTTATTTCTAAGTTAAAATTGGATGTGTTCTGTGGGAGGAGTGGCCATGCATCTTCTCTCTCAGAGGATTCATCTCTGTGTGACTGAAACTGTGTCCCTCAGAGAGTCCAGTCAGTTCATGGTTTGCTTGCATCATCTCAGGCAGAACTGTGCCTATAATATTTTGGGATGAATGCTGCCTGAAGCTCCAAGTGTCCCTTCCTTGTGTATTTTCCATCATAGAGGTGGTTCTTGAAGGGCTTGTGAACAACCACGTGGGATAAGCGGATCAGCCGGTCTTGGGTGTGCTTGGAACGGGAACTGATTACATTCGGTCTGTGGAAATTGCTCTGATTTCTTATTGTTCTTGTTTTCCTCCAGCCCAGTTCTTAAATACGCACTGGCAACTGGGATGTCTTTCCCGCTTTTTTTGCCCGTTCTTTCCAGGAGGTGGCGTTCCTGCTCTTCCCTCCTGTATAAGTGTTGGAAAATTAATTTCTCCTTGGGTGGTTTTTTTTTTTTTTAATGTTAGTAAAACTGTACCCCCATATGTAATACGGTTCCCAAAAGGATTGCCTTTTTGCTATAGGGATATGTTGATCCAAATCTGGAAAGGTTTGTGGGTTGAAGTCATTCCTGTTGTTGGAGGCAGGGCTTGTTTTACCAAGAGGTTGCTCAGATATGTCTGCCTGGAAATTCTTGTAGTTCCCATCTGAAGCATTTGGCTGCTGTCAGTCAGGGAGCTTGGAATGTTCCTGTTAGGCCACAGTGATAGATTACGGATTATGTGGGGTGCTTTGCTCAGAATTTGATCCAAAAATTCTCTTTAGGGGTGTAGAGGGAGGTTTCACATCGACTCAGTAGACTTGCTAGTTTGTATGTGGAAAAAGCAATGCCGGTGCACTTGAGTACACATCTGAACACATTTTCCCTCCTCCTTCCTTGGTTCTGCACAAGTTTAAGTTGCAGGGTAAAGCTTTTTTAGCTTCCTAATACTGATGTCTAGGAATTTCTGGTCTGGAGCACCAGTTTGAGAAGATAGGTGAGGGTAAGTAATCAAGAAGAAACAGGTTGGTTTTTTTTTTTTTTTAACTGTTTCAGACTAGTGGGGTTTTTCCCCTCCACCCTGTGCCTTAAATAATCGATTGAACTGGTAACTAATGGTTGTGTGCTGGCAAGTGTAGTCCATGACCAGGGGTAGTGACTCAATCAGCCTGCACAGAAGGCTTGATTACTTCTGACAAGTTTTATCTGGATGTTTTTTCTAGTGAAAAGAAAATTAGTCATGTTGCATAAGCTCCTCATCTGCAGCCTGTCTCTCTTCATTAGCTCACGTACAGCATCCTCAGCAAGTACCTCCCTGCTCCTGCCACCTTTGTCCCGCTTGGAATTTGTGCTGAGGAAACATGAAGCCACAGGGATGTGCTTCGGGACCTGGCTCTTGGTGCATCCCAAGGGGATCAAGTAGCGGGTGATTTTAGCAACAGGTAGGACACTGGTTTACAGGAAGGCTGTTTCACCCCGAAAATCACGTTTTGTGCCTCCGTGTAAGCCAGGAGTGTCTTTATTACTAAGGAATTACATACATAAGGGATATTATGAGGCATTACAGTAGATCTGTGCTGTTTGTGACCCAAAAGGAACAATGTGAAGGTAAGTTATGTGTTAGTGTAGAGAAGCAAACCTTGTGATATCATCTGCATGGGTTTCTTGCTCTCTTCTCTGTTCTCTTGGCTTATTTCCAAGGCTTTAATATCCGCTGTGGAGAAAGACCTGCCCTTTTTGGTGGATTTAAAAAAAGTGATGCTTAAGCATAAATATGCAGGTGAGCTTAAATCGGAAGCTCTCAGACTGCTGAGTGTGCTCTCAAAGAATAAAAGTGGGGAATAACCAACTCCCTGCAGAGATCTTCACTTGGAAAATTCGAATACTGTGGGAATACTGTAAATCTGGCCCTCTAGAAACTCCCGCCTTCCCAAATTGCCAGGTACTGGGGGACATTGTTTGGGTCACTGGCAGAGCTGGACAGGGCTGTGGCACTTGGAAGCTTTTTGGTGGGATCAGTGATGGGATAGCAGGTCTTTTCCTGAGCCTTGTGCTACCAAGGTAGACAGTGACTTAGGGACTTGGAACCATCGTTGGACCGGAATTCAGAAGTTCAAAGTAACTTAAGTGTAATTAAGTACGTTAGGTGTAAAAATGACTTAGAGAAGTAACTTTCTGTAGCTTAGCAGCCTCAAGGAAATTAGTGCCTGTTTATATCAGGTAAAACTTGGAAAAGTATTTAACTGTCAGGGATTCTGAAGTGGGGAGTTCACAGAAAAATCAGTCCACTTGTCTTGTTTTTTTTTTTAATGGTCCCAGAAAACAACTGGCTTGATGCTACTACGTCTGAGGCTACTTGTAGCTGACAAGTTCCTGATGAAGGTCTCAAACTTCTTTGCAATGTCCAACCCACAGATTTCTGAGTATGGACCACCCGGGATAAATTCTAAGCTTTCAGGCTTACAACATTGTCATATCTCTCTGAAGAGCCTGAAACTTATTCTGTAATTTTATTTGCTGTTAACCTGTAAATAGACTCAAAACAGAAACAATGCTTCTTTGTTAAATGGGAGTAAGGGGGAAAAAAAAGGATGTGAAGGACAAAACTTTACCAAACTTTGAATTTCTGAAAATTCAAAGCCTTTTGCACCAAGTGCAAAACTTGAGAAAGGTTTTAAGTGAGTGTTTTATTTTCCAGAAGGAAAAGCTCTTCTTTCGTGTTGCGGAATGGCTAAATTTGCAAAATGATGTAAATTATGAATCTTGAGTTCTTCTGACTTTAACAGCTTCTTTGGAGCAGTGTTAATATTAAATGGAAGTTACTTTTTCAGCAATCCAGATGATTTAAGACCCATGACAATAGAGAAATACCTTTTCTCTCCAGTTGATAGAAAAATCTACTTTTTGGGGTCGGGTGAGGCCAGAAGGTTGTGAATTCTGACCACCAACATAAATGATTGAAAGATGGATTTTACACATTAAGAAGATAATGCACCCTCTCTGTACTTGGCTTTTACTATTTCCACCTGTTGTCCCTTGCTGGTGCTCCTTTGAGTTTGGTCAAGCTGTCCTGAGTTTCACTTGAGGAATCAGAAGGGAATAAGGGCCTGTGCGTTTCTTCCTTGCATCGTTTCTGCTGGATCTGAAAGGAAACACTTGTTTGCATAGTGCTGGTGTGTGCAGAGGTCGTTGTTATGTCTCCCTGCTCCTATTTTTATAAAAAACAACCTCCTGCTAATAGCTAATGAAGAACTCATCATGCAAATCGCTGCTTGGATCTTGGGGCCGTGCCAGGCTGCACATTCTGCATCTCACATTTGTTGCTGGAATTCCAGCACGGTGATTAAAGGCATGCAATCCTGAAAAAAAAAAAAAAAAAAAAAGAGAGAGAGAGAAAATCTGACCTTCAGCTTGGAGTTCAAGATGGTAGTGTTCATTAGGAAGTGAATCAAAACTGAACAGATGGAACTACCATGAGGAATTATTATCGAATTGAGCTGCCATCGTTGCATTTAATCAGGAGATGAAGGCAGCAGCAGCCCAGCTCTGTACAACTGACTGCTGTGTGGGAATTGGGATACTGCTATGAAACAGGAACACTGAAATTAGCTGGGAAAAAAAAAAGAATTCACTCATGGGCTGGTAAAACTAAATTCACTTTTTTAGTTCTATTCAGTTTGAGGCTTTGGCTTGTAGCAGTTTAATGGCTGTGACTTCTGATGCGGAGCTGGTTTTCTTTATCCTTAGACTTAAAGGAGCCCAGTTCACATTTGGAAAAGTTGGCTCCAGTATCTTCTGTTAGGTGTTCAGTGCTGGAGGGGTAAGACAGGGAGTTTTTCATGAGTGATGTGGCACTGTGTGTGTGTTGAGGTGCTTAAAGCAAGGAAACGCTGTAAGGGGAACAGTTTAGCTTGGCCTTGGGTAGTTTTTCTTAGTTTGAGTGCTTGATTTGTGACTTCTAGTGTTGGAGTCTTCATCTAATGTGTGGATTTGCTCTAAAAAGGCAGAGCAAAGGAGGTGACATGGCAGGAAGAAACGGAAAAAGCAGTGACAAGAACACTGTCCTTTTCCCTAAACAGACCCTGTGCCTTTGTACTTCTCGTTACAATAATCCGGACACAGCTACTGAACAGCCTCAAACCCATGGGGAGAGGGTGACCTTCCCCAGCCATCGATGTGTCAGCCAGGGTAAAGGCAGTGGGGTCAGATCCAACCCAAACACGCTTGCTTTGCCTAATCCCGGTGCTGCTGCGGCTGGGACAGGTTGTGGGATCGCTGAGGGCCGCTTCATCCCCAGGTAGCTACCGAAGAGACGAAGGATCAGAAAAAGGAGGAGGAGTATGGAGAGAGGCTCCCTGGATCCCCCTGCGCAAGGTGAGGGGGAGGAGAAGGAGGAGAGGCTCCCGCGGCGCCCCTGCCCAAGGTGTCGAGGAGGAGGAGGAGCAGGAGGAGGAGAAGCTCCCCCGGTGCCGGGAGGAGGAGGAGGAAGGAGGAGAAGCTCCCCCGGTGCCGGGAGGAGGAAGGAGGGCGCAGCGGTGCCCGGGGCGGGGCGGGGGGCGGGCGGGCTGCGGCGCGGAGCTGCCGCTTTGTCTGCGGGCAAAGTTTGGCGGCGGGGCGGGGGCTGAGGCGCTGCCCCGGCACCTGCCGAGGGGCCGGCGGGCAGAGCCCGCTGCGCCGCTGCCGCCGCGGGGCCATGGGCGCCCCGAGCGCCGCCTGGGCCACGCTGAGCCTCCTCGCCGCTGCGCTGGCCGCCGCCGCCGCCTCCTCCTTCTTCCCCTCAGGTGAGTCGTAGCGCCGGGCGCGTCCCCGTCCCGCGGGATTGTCCCTGAGGAGAGAGCGACCCAGCTCCGAGCCCGCCGTTTCCCGCGGGGTTCGGGTGGGCTTTTCCCGCCTCCCTCCATCCCCGGCCCGGGCGGGGGTCCGCCTCCGCCCCCCGCCATTTTGGCGGCCTCTCCTGAAGCGAGGTGAGGGGCACCGGGGCGAGGCGGTGTCCGTGCCCGACCCTTCCCGCGGCTCTTTCCCGCCGGAGGGGTGTCCGGGAGCGGCTGTGGAGCGCCGGGGATGGAGGAGCGTGTCCCGCCTCGGGCGTCGCGGGGCTGTCCCTCACGCTGGGCGGGAAGGCAGCCCAGGACATCAGGGAGCTCCTACCCAGGTGAGGGGGGCTTGTTACCCCAGAAAGCCGCTTGTGAGGGCTTTAGTTGTCCGAACCCACAGAGAACGCCCCGTGCCCGTGCGTGAGGGGCCACGAAGCCGGCCCGCAGCCCTCACACGCCCCGCGGGTGTTGGTGTCCGTGGGGAGGGCTCGGGAATGCTGTGGTGGGAGCTGGGCATTGCCTGGGAAGCGTGAGGGGAGATGGGGGGAGCAGGCACCAAGCCGTCCGCCTTGCCGTGTTTTAGGAGGATTCATTGGAGCCGGATTCAGTTGAATTCGGGTGAATGCAACTTGCTGTGTGTGGGTGTCGCTGTGAGAGTGCCCGCGGGGGGACACACCAGGCGTCGGTGCGTTCGCGGTGTTCTGGACAGACCCGTGGCAAGGGCAAGGTTAGGCGATGCTGCCGCTCGAAAGCTGCTTCAGTGTGTGCAAGGCAGAACCGTCATTCGCGGGAAACGTTTTCATCTGTGCTTTGCAACAGGTGTAAATCGCCCTGGGGACCCGGGGTTGCATGGAAAATGAGGGCACTGTAACAGAGTTGCTCGATGTGTGTGTGTGGTGTCCTCGGCTCGCTCGCAGTTGGGAATAAAATACAAAGATGTTTAAGGATATTTGAAGTCCTGCAAAGTTGGGTTAAATCTTAGTATCCCACCCTGGTAACTTGTGAGGGAGGGAAATATGTCTCTGCCCTCTTTGGAGAAGGACTAGACTGTGAGTTTGCTTTCTAGTCCTGTGTGGTCCTTATTCCGTGCTGTGGCCCCGGAGGGGATGAGCACACTGGTACTTTTAGGAACTGTAGCTGTGAGTGAGCTAAAAAAAAAGGCAGCCAGCCCATGAGGGGTCAAACGTGAGTTCTGCTAGTTTTGACTAACTGGTATTAAGTTTTTTGTGGCTTTTTGTCTCCACGTGCCTTCCAACAATATGTGACCTTGTGTTTTGCACTGGATTTTGAGGTGCAGCTGCAAGATGAATCTTGAAATTATCCTCTCTTACCAAAAGGAAAGCTATCTGCTGAATTTGAGAGGGACATGATTGGGCTTTTGTGGTTTATCTTGGCAAGGGAAAATAATTCCCGACGGTGCCACCGTAGCCTCTCGCAGCTGGGCTGAAGATGGGCTCAAAGAGGAGCTTTAGATTCGAGGCAGTGTTAGCTCCCAGGTTTTTCTGTACAGATTTGTCTAATATGCATTTCTTGGGAAACAGCACTCTTTGACAAGGAAATTCTTACTTCTCCAGGGGGTCCCTCAAGGCAGCCTTTCCCGCCTTTTCTTTCCTTTTCATCTCCCGAGTTTCTTGGGTTGCTTTTGGTTACACATTCCTGTCACGTTTTCAGGAGGCAGATCTGTGTAGTTGTTCAAGAACAACTGCTTTCCCAGAAAATCAATGGAAGAGCTGTCATTCAACTTATTCCTGGTTTTATTTCCTACCCTTTTATGTGATTATTGAAGTAGAATATGCAAAGTGTGCTTGGATGGGCGCCTGTCTCTCTCCCTGGCTTGGAGAACCTTTCTCTCAGCCAGCAGTGAGGACGAGGAAGGCTGAGGCAGGAGGAGCCCTGTGAGCTGTCCTGTTGTCCCTGGAGGAGTGATTTAGGAGTGGGAATTCAGGCTGGCTCTTCTCACCATTATTTTGGCAGCCTCCCCTCTTGTGTCTGCCTTGTCTGTGCCTCTCTTGAGCCCAACTAGAGCAGAGTTGCTGTTGCTTACCCAGGGGTTGCCCAGCTGGCCCAAATCGGCATTTTCCTTGTGGCTGGCGAGTGCTTGGCCAGAGGTGGCTGCTCAGCTCTGCTGGTGCTGTGCCAGAGCAGGTTCTCTGGGGAATGTGCTGCTGTCACTCGCTTCTAACCTGTTTTATTTTCCTTTGGTCCCTCAGGTGCCTGTGTCTACCACGGCGTCTTGTTTGAGGTAGGTGAAAGCTCTCATGTGTTTTGCTGGGGAAGGGTTTGAGAAGGTGCTGTTGAACGTGAGTCTAGTCCTTGATTTTTGTCACCATTGCAACTGGGGTGCAGGTCACAGCTCTGCCAGTCTGCTGGAAAACAGCAGGGGAGTAAATACTGCCTGTGTTTATCCGGGGCTCCTTTGGCCAGCAGTGAAAAGATGTGATGTAGGATATTTCCAGGTTCTTGGAAACCATATGAGTGACCAATACCCAGTCCTAGGCGCGATGGAGATGATGCTTTGTAAAATGTAGTGCCAGGATATGTGTTTCTTTCCCTAAATTAATGACAGCAGCTCAATACCTTTTCCTCTCAGTTGGTCATGGTGAGTCCTGTGTACCCCATCTCTCCTTTATAAACCCAACATATTTCCTTTTCTAGTGTGTCTCTCTTTGCGTGTACATAACCCATGAACAACTTTGTACAAGAATCACAGTTTTGAAGTATTTATGAACAGCGTTTTGCTCCGTAACACTTGTCTGTCTTGCTCTGGTACTCTGGGCTAAGAGGAAACTGCTGAGCAGCTTTGTGTCTCTGGAATGCTTCTGGACCTGCCTCCAGTCCCACAGCAGGCTGGCTCGGGGATTTGTTAGCACAGGCAGGGAGGCAGCAGCTGTCTGGGGTTGTATTTCTCTTGGAGCAGCGCTGGCTGTGTGCTCTGCATGTGTGACAGCCAGCCCCTGGGCACTGTGGAAACAACTGGCAGCAGGTGGTTCCTTTACCCTTCCAGTGTGGACTGGGGGGGCTTGGAAGTTGTCCTGCTCCAAGAGGGGAATTGCTGGGGGTGAGGAAGATGAAGCAGGCTGAATGTGTTTGCTCCCCCTAATGATGTACTGTGGAGGGTCTTGACAGCCACTGGACTGTTTAAAGATTCCAGCTGGAGTGAACTGGATGGCAGGACTCTTCCTGCTGAGCGTTGCTGCTCTCCAGGGCAGCATCAGAGCAGAAGGGTTGGCAAGTGAGGGGTTCACAACCCTCATTACCAAAGATGTTTGTTCCCTTTTGTGTTTTCCTGGTATTCTGATATTTTAGGGTTTTTTTTTTTTCCTCTGCTCTTTCTTTCACTGCTGCTGTGTGTTTGAAACACTGCTGTGTGTGTCTGTAGCATCATTTGTACATAAGGACTGAGGTTATGTTCTAGGCAAGATCATTCCTGTTTGAAAAAACTTGCTCCCAGTATCCTTGAGTTGGTGTTTATCACTGTATTGAGTGAGATTGTTGTGTGTTTGTTAATAAATGGCTGTAGTAGTTGTCGTTGGCTGCCCGGGAGGGCTGCTCTGCAGTGCACCTGGGGGCAGACACAAAGATGATGCAGGACACACATTAGGAAGGAATCCTTCCCTGTGAGGGTGGGCAGGCCCTGGCACAGGTTTGCCCAGAGAAGCTGTGGCTGCCCCAGCCCTGGAAGTGTCCAAGGCCAGGCTGCACGGGGCTTGGAGCAAACTGGGCTAGTGGAAAGTGTCCCTGCCCATGGCAGGGAGTGGGACTGGATGATCTTTAAGGTCCCTTCCAAGCCAGGCCATGCTGTGTTTCTGCTGGGTTTGTGTGGGAATGCCGTTTGCCGCAGAGGTCTCTGAAGTCACTTGGAAAATCCTTGGTGCATAAATCAGACATTTAAGTGTAGTGGTGCAGGCACTGCAGAGTTGCTCAAATTGTTAACGCTGCAAAAGTTCTGCGTCTTGCTTGACTGACGGGGCTCCCTGTGCACCCAGGGTCAGCTTGTGTTCGTGGCTTTCCTCTGAGGAAAAACACCTCTCTGAGCGTGATTTCCACTCCTGTGGAGGTGGTTGGTGCTCCTCCCTCTGGCTTGCACCTTTGCGGGAGTTTTCAGGTCCACACAACCAGCACAGCAGCTTCCTTTACTTAGCAAGGAAGAAAATACAGGGTGTTTTTTCTTAGCTGGAGGGCACGTTTGTGCCACTCCGAAAGCCAGGGTGTGTGGGAGGTGTTGATCGAATCCACCGCTGGCTTGTGCCAGGAAGAGTTTCCAGCCCTGGGAGAAGGGGAGGGGAACACAGGGCTGTGAATTAAGGTGGCTTCAATGGCAAGTGGGACTTGATAAATGACCTCATGGCTGGTAGGCACTTCAAAAAGTCCAGCTGAGCAACCTCCAGCACATTTTCATTTTGTCCTTTAAAAACACGGATGTTGCCTGTTGCACCAGCTGCTGGTAATGCACGCAAGGATAAATTTCTGCACTGACAGATTCTTTTGGAAGTTTCCTGAGACACAAATATGGTGCTTTTTTTAACACTATAAAGCACTAAAGAAGCTACTCTGAAAGGAAATATTTTTAATCTTGGAATTGGAATGAAAATTATGAGCAGAATAAAAAGCCCTAACTTAATCCACGAAGAGTGAGGCACTTGCTTGCTCGGCTTCAGAGCTGTTTTTTAAGTCATTTGGCTTATTTAGCTCATATCAGTGACAATAAACCAGTTGGAAGTATCCGATGTGACCGACTGCACATCCTTGTTCGTTCAAGTATCCCTTTAAATCTGATCAATTCAGTAACATCTTGTGGTTACCTGTGTACATTTAGTTGTCAGAAGTCTAAAGAAAGCCTGATTTGATGCTTTTTAAATCAAATTTCCATTTCCATCTGTAGCTTGTGCTGGACAGAAATGAGAGGGGAAAAGTAATAAATAAAAAATGATGGGTTTTTTCCCCCCCATTTTTAAATCTCCCACTCCAGATAGCTTCTACTCTGAATAAATTCAGTGACTACCTAAAATAAATGTTAGCAGGTGCAGAGCACTTCTGGATAGGGAACATTTCAAATTAGCAGTGGAAAATGAGCTTCATTTCAATTTCTTTAGAAGGAATAACAAGTTACTACTGGAAAATGAGATCAGAAGTGAAGATTTCCGTTGAAAGGTTTTCTTGTTAACTCCTACAATGGTCAAGATGCTTTTGTTTTTAAATAATGTGATTTAAATGCCAACTGTTTAGCCTGGGGCTGCATCCTCGTGATGTACATGAATGCTGTGCAGTTAAGGTTTATTAATATAATAATGAGCTGCTTCTCATGCAGCAAATCTCTTCTGCTCGTGGGTTTCAGAAAGCCGGGATCAGCCGAGGATCAAAAATAAAAGTGCTTTTTGAATCAAGGGTGTGCTGCATATGTGTTCTTGTCTTTGTTTTGCTTGAAAACAGCGATGTGAAATGTAGAGGAATGGGGGTAGGCTCTTTATTTCATGGGACCAGGTGAAAGAAGCTTAGATGCAAGATAACGATTTTTCTCCCACGGGTGAAGTGAATTCTTGTGCCTTGATCAGTAAAGAGTTGGTTTTAATATGAAATAATCTTTCTTTTTTATCTTGGTGGTCCTGAATGTCACTTTGTGGTCTGGGAAAACAATCCCTCATGCTGTAAGGACCCAGAGCACAGTGTAGCTGGGAGTTGGTATGTTCTGGAATTAGCACACATTTCTTCGCAGCAGCTTGGCCCCGGTGAACACCAGTGACACACAGTGAAAACTGGGAGATTAATTATGGTGTGTATCACAGTAGACAGGGCTCGATGTAGTCCCTGCCCCTGTGGAAGGGCTCTTCCTTGCCGCATTTTCCATGAGCAAACAGCAGTGCACACAAGCTGTGAGAGATGCATTGATGCAGCACCGGCTTTGCCTGTCTGGGAGCACCAAGTGGCACCGGCCGGGCACACTCCTGGTTTCTCCTGGTGCTGCTCCCTGCGAATAGCTGTGTCCCTTTCCATGAGGTGTCCAAGGAGGGACGAGGCAGATTATCCTGCAGCTGTGCCTTAACTTACTCTGGTACGACTGAAGCACAAAGCCAGTGTGTCTCTGCCTACCCTGAGGGGCTTTCTCTGCCCTGCTCACCCAGCGTCCTGCAAATACACTGAATTTATCGTCCACTTCCCTCTTCTTCAACCCTCGGGTGTATATGTGGTGTCTGTGGATTCTCACAGCACGCTCACTGGTCAGAAGTTGTTCTTTCTCCCTCCTTTTTGTGGGTCTCACATTCCAGCAACCCAGGGCCCAGCAGTACAGTCATGGTCCTCCTCAGTTGTCTGCGTGTGTTTAAGAACAGCATTTGGCCCCAGAATCCACGGGATGCTCTTCCTAAGCAGTCACACATAGCCTTTTTGGCAAAAAGAGATTCTGAAACAGCTCCTCTGAGCTTTGGATAGCCCAAAAGATACATGGAAAAACTGATAAAACTCCAAGAGACAACTCTGGGGGTGGTGGGGATTTTTGAGCTTTAATTGGAGACTCAGTGCTGTCCACAAGGACTTTTCCTTGGAGCTGGGAGTGTCTGCTGGCTGTAGTGTTCTGCTCCAGGGGTCTTCCCTCTCTGTCCTCCGTCCTGGCTGGTGAAAGGCTCGTGCTTTAATCTTCCCTGTGTCATGGGAGGTGATCTGGCATCGGCTTTATTTGGAGATCAGGGTCTTTACAAGGGCTGCCCTGTTCCACATTTTCCGTTCCAGTGAGTTCCCGGATGGTGGCTGCTCAGCCACGAGCGCTGACTTAAGTAGATGATTAACATTTAATACCACAGTTAGAGGAGCTGTGTGCCAGAGCCTTGGCAGGAGACGTTGGGTTCCTCATGGGTTCATTCACCAGGACAACAGTTTCACAATCATACAGCGTTTAGAAATTTCACAAGTCATTGTGCCTTCCGTCTTCCAGGGTGCATTTGAAGAGCTTTGTTAGGAAATAATACCTTGTAATTATTTTACTTTTTCTATGTAAATCCCCATCGTGCAAAATGCCTTTTCCCTTTGCTTGGTCACCTCCTCATTCCTTCCCTTTCCTCAACCCTTTCAAAGCCTTGATCAGGATTCCCATTTGCGTTTTCTCCTTAGAGGAAGGGCTGTGATGTCTGACGAACTGATAAGAGAGATGATAGAAATCAGGTTTTGCCAGTGGAAGAGGCTAGAATGCACTTCCAGTCCCTGTGAGACAGCAGGCTCTTTACACACGCATTTCTTCTGGTTATATGGGTA